TGATCTCGTGAAGAACGATTGGTTGGCGATAGAAAATGTGAGAAGTTGACAGATTTAAGGAATTGTTTTGATTTTGTGATTAAGATAGTTATCGTTTATTGATAAGTTAATTAAGCTTTGTTGGTTAAAGAGTCAAACAAAAACTTTGTGACGACTTCTGTGATTGTTATATGTGTTGAGTGTACATACTTTGTGTATAAAATGTTTTGTTAAATTAATCGTAGGATCGTTGTTAAGATCTGAGCTATAGCAATAGAATCAAATAGAAGTGAAAAAATAGAAAATTTTCTTTATGTTACGTCGTATATCGATTAAGTGAAAACATTTTTGGATAATTGAACAAATTTTGGACGATACTCTAAATGTCTTGATATAAATAGAATTATCACATTGATATTAAATGAGAAGATTTAAAAAAAATTTTTAAAAAATGATGAAACATGCATATAAAAAATTTAAAAATTAAAATTAATAAATTCGATATTCAGTGCGATGTGATTTACCTTATCTGTTGATTTATAATAACATTGTTAATATTCTAAGACAAAAAAGAAGAATTTTTCAATTATTTTTCTATAACTAAATATCGTGATATTTAAATGGATAATTATGTTCATTTTCTAAAATACATATTGAATATATCTTTTTTTAAAATTCAAACGTCGAGTTTAATCTGTTAAATGTTGACTTTTTATATAAATAATATCGATCGTTCTTTTTTGTCTTTCCAATAGATAATATTAAATTAAATTTACAAAATGAATATTTTCTTTCTCAGGTGAAGATGTATCAATCATGTGCCATAGTTTGTTACATAACTTATAGATTTCCTTTACGCGTGAAAAAGAATCAATGATTATTGTATTTTTTTTATATGTATTTTTTTATATAACTTTTTGTCATTCATTTGTTGCAATACGTAAATCATACAGAAAAAAAAATAAAAAAAAAATTCCAAATTGTATCCTTTAAATTTTAATTTGAAACTTTAATTATTCAATCATGTCGTTCTTGCAGCAAATGGACGATGTAAATTTAAAAGTATAAAAATAATATAAAAATATATATGAACAATAATAGATAATAATATCAAAGAAAATCAATATTCTTTGAGAATGCAGAGTTTAAAATGCACAATTTAAAATATGCATCAGAAGATAACGAAACTTGAATCCAAATATCGCTAGATATGTGTATCTACTTAGAACTATAAAGAATAAAGAATTCATCAAAAATGAATGTATTTGATAAAAATAAAAATGCAATACATTAACAGCATTATTGAGAAATATTTATTTATACATCATTAATCAAAATATTGAGAAATCCTGAAATCCTTAAAAATATTGAAACAATTATTTATAAAATAGATCTCTTGACATTGTAAAATTTAGAGAATTATGAAAGTTTACAATAAATTTTATTTGTTGATGAAGCTGATTTATATTGGTAGTAAAAAATATCGTTTTGATAACATTAATATTTATAAGATATTCTAAAATATTCCAATAATTCTAACTAAATTATAAGAAATAATTCTGGAGAGGACTCATGAATTATTAATAAATAATATTAATTAATCATTATATGAAAGTATTAGTTACAAGAAAAGAAACCTTCAAACCAAAACCTCCAAACAAAAAATTAATTCAAAAAATTATGAAACTTTGAAAATATATAAATATACAATTCTTTTTTTTTTTTTTTTTTGGTATCTGAAATCTTTTTCAAAAAAGTGAAATCAACCCTATGAAAATTTATCTATTCTTCAACTTTATATTATTGCATATTAGAAAAATGGGAAAAAGAAGTGACTCTACATAATATCAGACATGAATTTCAAAAAATTTCATTCTCACACAATTATGGATCATAAATGGTGATATATATTACTGATATCTATTCGCCTTGTATCAATGTGAATAAATTGTTCAAAATTTCTGAATATTCGTGAATGCAACTGATGCTCATGCATTATACGTGATATTTTTGAAGATATTTGAATTAGAAAAAATAAATTTGAAAAATTTCAAAACATCATGAAATCGGATTTTAAAAGAACATATAGAATATCTAGAAAGATTAACAAATTTATCACACGATTGTATGCATATTCAGATATAACTTAATTAGATACAAATTAAATATTGTAAATAACTTTATATTAGAAATATTGAAAAAATATATATACTTTTTAATGCTGTTGAAAATAGATTCATCTAGAATCACATTCTGGCTATGCTTTAAGGAACAAAAAGCGTTACAGCAGTAATACAATCTGTAATCGTTGCTACACACAACTATACTCTACACTTCTATAATATCAGCTTCCTTCTTTCTCTCTTTTTTATCATTTTAAAGAAAGAAATAAAAAAACTAATCGTATAGATCAATTTTCGTTTCGAGAATAGGAATATTTATATACTGACATTTGAAAATTTAAATAAAGAATGTTTGATGAATGAATGATTAATAAATGTTTATCTAATGAGATCTCGGAATTTTTTATCGTTAGAATACCTATCTACGTTACAAGATACGTTACGAGTATATTATATTTAATCTAATAAATGTAGATTTATTTCATGTAGATTACAACACCGAACAAAAAAGGAAATATAAGTTAAAATCGATATTTAAGATTTCCTCATATGAGAAGAGAAGAATTTTGTACTTAAAAATTATAATAATTACGACATTGATTGTACATGTATAGAATAATATCATCACATTAAATTATATTTTTTATCATTTTTTCATTTATAATCAACTTTCGTCATCAAGGTTTTTATTACCATGTATTGATGAGAAATCAAATAAATTTGAAGATCTTGTAGAATTTGTTCTTTCGTAATAAAATTAATAGAATCGCCTCAATGTTCCATGTTCAATTATGCTATTATACCGTGTTTATGATTATTATGTAATAAGGTCTTCTATTTACATTTTTCTTTTTTTTTTTATAAATTTCATCATAACGAAGAGTAATTCATATTATTTACCCTTGTATCTTTACTTGTATCCTTTCATTGATATTCATCTAATTTTTATCGAATCTTATTACTATCTGATGTATAAAAAAATGAAGAAATTTCTTAAAAAACAAAAAGATTTTATAAAATAATTGCATATGAATCATCTATGAGTTTCTTTTTTTTTCTCTTTCTCTCTCTTTTTCTCTCTATTCCATTGTTGATCCAATATTTAATAAAAGACAAATATATAATATAAACTTTTAAAAATTTAGCAACGAAAATTAACAGTGATTCAGCAAAGCTATATTTAGAAATATAAGAACCTATTTGTTTTTTTATACCATCAACAATTAATATCATCAGAAGTATCAATAAATCGTTCGTTATCAGAACGAATCAATGAAACAAATATGAAATTATTTATTGGAAAAACAATAATTATGTAAATATATATTATAATAAAATATTGTAAAAATATACATGATTTTGTAGTTATTTTAGATTGTAGATAATACTAATTGTACAAGGGGTGATTTTATATAGTGAAAAGATAAAATATTGAAAAGATAAAATAAATTTTTCTTATTTGAAATTTCGTTTTCGCATAAATTTTAACAATTTTACCAAACTGAATACTGAATTATTGATAAAAGATTATTCTTAATGTATAAAAATAAATAAAAAATACAAAATAAAATTTTCTTTATATAAAAAAAAACTCGAACTTTCAAATTTTATTTTCATCCGTTTCGAATAAAAAAATTATTTATTATTTCTCTTTTTCGATTTATTATTTTTTTTCATACACTCATTTGTTTATAACATTAAATATTAAACAGAATTTATTAATTCCTTAAAGATCAATATCATCAATATTATTCATACATAAGAAATATTTTCGAATCTATTATAGGATCAATACTTTTATTCTATTATTTTGTAATTTTTACATTTATTTTATATGAATTGAGTCTTTTTTGTCTTTATAATGAAATTTTATATTAAAAACTCGTTAACGTTTTAAAGACAACTAAAGATATCTTGAATTTAATGAGTCTTATTCATCTTTATAATGAAATTTTACATTAAAAACTCGTTAGAGTTTTGAAGACAACTAAAGATATCTTGAACAAATGTACAATAAAAAAAAATATAAATTTTACAATTTACAAAATTTGATATAAATATCAAATTTTCGATATCTTCAAAATTTTCAAAGTTTATCGAGTATTTTTTTGCGAAAAAGTAAATTTCAATTCTCTGTTTTTTTTTTTATGAATTTGTAAATAATATCGTCTAAATATATTTTACAATTAAATAAATCAAAATACGATCTTTTTGATATCGTTTAATTTTTATCCGAGAAACTTTGTTTACAATATATTCACATATATATTTCACAGATTTTAACATTCTTGAAATATAACATTTTACTTTACATATATTTTCTACTTTCGATATTGTTATTATTCCTATGATCATATTCCAGTATAATTAATTAAAACGATTTCATAAATAAAAACAAATGTAATGCATGTATCGCATGTATGCTATTATTGCTCGTTCTCATACGTTTTTATTAGAATTTGTTTGAATTTTCAATCGCTCATGAAAATCATCATTTCAATCAAATATGTAAAATCAGAACACAGATAAAAATAACAATAAAATAAAAAAAGCACAAACTTTTTCAATCCTAAAAATCGAAAGACACTTACGCAAAAAAAAAACACTCGAACAATTTTTCACCTTCCACTTATCCTTACACGTCTAAGAAATCACATCTAAGAAATCACCACGTGTTTGCCACAACAATAATTTCTTAATAAGAAATACATAAATAATCCTTCTATCAATCCCATCTATCTTTTTCTTCCAAGAAACGATTCTTTTTCCTTTTGTCCATAACCTCACATTCCTGTAAACCTTCGGTGGTCTCGAATAGAAGGAGTAGAACGAGTCGCGCATGCGCAACACGTACATCGACAAAATAAATAACGGCGCGCGTTTCAATCGTTCCTCAAAATGTTTACCACGTTCAAATCGTCCTACAATGCCCATCGCTTATTTTTTTTCCTTTTCCTGATTACCGCTCTTCCAAATGTATCCCAATCGGTTATGTTCGAGAGAACGAAAAATCTGATCATGAACGCGATCGGATTTAACAAATTCTTAAACGAGTCGCGAAACTTCGCCTCGAAAACCCAACCGGACAGGACACCGGGATCAAATTCTCGATACGACTTCATTGTGATCGGGGCTGGGACGGCGGGTGCGGCCGTTGCATCCAGACTCTCCGAGATCGAGGATATAACCGTTCTTCTGATCGAAACCGGATTCGAGGAGGAGCTGTACATGGACATACCGTTGCTTACAAACTTTCTTCAACGGATACCGGGCCTCGACTGGATGTACCAAACGGAATCGTCCGAGAATTACTGCAGAGGGATGATCGGGCGCAAGTGCACTTTCCCCCAAGGGAAGGTGATGGGAGGCAGTAGCGTGATCAACTTCATGATCGCTACGAGGGGTAACAAATGGGATTACGACAACTGGGCGAGGATGGGGAACCGTGGCTGGTCGTACGACGAGGTGTTGAAGTATTTCAAGAGGTTGGAGAACATGATGATACCCGAGTACAGGCACGACACGGTCTATCACGGCACGGAGGGCCCGGTCAACATCAATTACGCCCGGTTCAATACAACGGTGGCGAGAACGTTCGTCGAGGCTGGCCAGGAGCTTGGTTACCCGCTATTGGATTACAACGGTGAACGGCAAATGGGCGTTTCCCTGTTACAGTCGACCACCGACAGGGGTGTGCGAACGAGCAGCAACAAAGCTTACCTTTTCGGCAAGCGGAGGAGGAATCTTCACGTGACGAAGCTGAGCACGGTGCACAGGATATTGTTCGACGAGGGGAGGGGGCGAGCCATAGGGGTGGAGTTCGCCAAGAGGGGGCGGCTTTTCACCGTGCACGCGGACAAGGAGGTGATCGTCTCCGCCGGGGCGATATCCACCCCCAAGCTGTTAATGCTGTCCGGTATAGGGCCAGCTGAACACTTGAAGGAGCTGGGCATAGAGGTGGTCAGGGACGCCCCCGTCGGCGAAAATTTGATGGACCACGTGGCTTACGGAGGCCTGGTTTACGACATAGATCAACGCGTGAACGTGATCAGAAACGACGTGAACGATATATTCCAAGGTTTCCTCAACGATTATTTCATAGACAGGGGCGGGCCGTTAACCACGCTTGGAGGTTGCGAGGCGCTCGCGTTCATCAACGTGGACGATCCGAAGGAGAGGGATGTACCAAACATGGAGTTGCTTTTTCTGGGTACCTCGATATACACCGTGAACGTTATAGCGAAGAATTTCGGATTGAACGAGGAGATATCGAAGAAATTCAGCTCGTATCGCAATCGCAAGGCGTTGTCGGTGTTCCCGATGCTGTTGCACCCGAAGAGCAGGGGGAGGATAAGATTGAGGTCCGGGAACGTGGAGGACAAGCCGAGGATATTCCCGAATTATATGAGCGACCCGGACGACGTCAGGGTTCTGATCAAGGGGATCAAGGCGGCCAACGAGTTTCTGCTCACGACAAAGGCCTTCCAGAGATTCGGTACACGGCTTAATAACGAAACGATGCTCGAGTGCGAGAAGTTCCCTTTCGACAGTGACGCTTATTGGGAGTGCAATTTGAGGTTGCTACCGCTCACTATTTATCATTATAGCGGCACGTGCAAAATGGGGCCTGAGAGTGACAAAACTGCCGTGGTGGATCCGACGTTGAAGGTAAGTCGTATTTTTCAAAAAAAAAAAAANAAAAAAAAAAAAAAAAAAAAAAAAAAAATAGTAAAATTAATTATAATATTAAGTTATTATTAAAGTTATTATTAAAGTTATTATTAAGTTATATTATTAAAATAGTAAAATTAATTATAATATAATAATTAAAATAGTAAAAAATAGTAAAACAATCCTTTTATTTTAAATACAATATTGTCGAACAAACGAGAGGAAATTTTACAGGTAATCGGTATAAAGGGGTTAAGAGTGGTCGATGCTTCGATAATGCCGATGATACCCTCGGGTCACACTAATATTCCCACGTTCATGATCGCGGAAAAGGCATCCGATATGATTAAAGATGAATGGGGATATCCGACTTCTTAATATTGCCGTTGGATGATTAAAAGTAATATATATATATATAGGTAAGATATTTGTTTAATCCTAAATCCTACGTATTAAGAAAAAAATACGAATGCATTTATTAATACAATTAACCAACACATCATATTTGAAACCAATCTTGTCAGTTGAAGTATACGCAATAAGAATTAAAAACTAATATATATATATATATATATATATATATATAAGTAAGATATTTATTTAATAGATCCTATGTATTAAGAAAAAAATACGAATGCAAATTATATCATATTTTAAATTAATCAGTTAAGTCATTAAAAGTAATTTATATGCAATAAGAATTAAAAACTGGAATATGTATATATATATATATATATATATATATATAATAATAATAATAAAAAAGAATACAAATTAACAACGTATCACATTTAAAATCAATTTTGTGTTAGTTGAATATTATGTTACTTTTCACGTTTTGAATAACGTTTGTTTAATATAGTAATAAAATAAAATATAAAATAAAATTTAATAAAGTATAAATTGAGTAATAATGATCGTATCAGATCTGATGTTAAACACGAATCAACGAAGTTATCAAGATTAACGATTAATTAAATTATAAATATTTAAGAATGGAAGGGAATTTAAAATGAAGAGAGTTACTTAGAGATTCCTTTATCTCTGTGTGATTCGATTTATGGTTACACGACAACTTACGATGTCTGGATACGTTTCTATAATTTTCATTCAAGTATTTTTAAATTAGAGAAAAAAATGATTATTTAAACACTTACTGCTTATTTTTAATAATATTATTATAATGAATTTTGAACATCGAAAAGTAATTTGACGAAGAATGATCCTCGTGACGTTTCATCATATTCATCTAATTAAAGAAATAGAAAAGTCGATTCAATTTTGTGATAAAAAAAAAAAAAGAAAATTGAAGAATTTTAATAATTAATTCGATTCTTTTAACAAGTTCGATCATTAATTATTTACATTTTCCGAGAATAAATCTAATAATCTAATAATTTTTTCTCTCTCAAAATGTCTCAATAATGTTCTCTTTTTATCTTTAGAAAAAGTGAAAGTGAATATCCTTCACGGGTATTTACCCTTTTAAAAATATTCATTGATCGGATTAACGATAAAGGTCAGTATGAAAATAAATGATACACACTGATTGAAAATAAATCAAGACGAATATCAAAAATAAATCTGTTTCTCACCATTAAGGAAAGTGAAAGTGAATAACCAATCAATGACCAATCTTTCATAACATATTTAAATGAAAATTAAAAAAAATTAACTAAAATTAAATAAAAATGCATTGTTTATCGCTTAACAAAAATTAATAGAAAAATAATTTTCGAAGTGAAATTTTATTTTTTTTTTTTTTTTTTTTTTCCATTTTATTTTCATCGTGAACGAATTAATTATTAAAACACTGTCCAATCACAAAGCATCGCGTCGGTAAGTATTCGAATTTGACAAATGGACGTGGAGGGGAATAAATAATAGAATAAGAGACCAATATCACTATTGTAATAATTATTATTTTTCTTATTCTTTTCAGAAGGAATTAATTATTGATCTGTATTAAAATTTTCTACTATTGGAGAAAAAATATCGTGTAATATTTGAAGACAAAATTGAGTCACAAAGAGAGCCCACTATCGCTTCTTTATCGACCATGCTCTCTCTTATTTTGGCTCAGGGATTTTTGATTTAAATAAAAATTCTTTAGATTTTGCTGTATCATATCTTTGAATAGAAAGAAAAAAATGATTTACTTCTTAATCAAATTATTTAATTTTCATTATTTAGAATAAAAGAGATATTCTCTTAAATTTTTTAAATTTAACTATTAGATGTAACATTTTATCATTAAGTTAAAAAACATATGTTTTAATACATATAAAATTTCATATTCGATATTCACTTTTCTTTTTTTGTTCTTCCCCTCTTTATAATCCTTCAGATTTTTCGATAAAGTAAAGTGGCAATCCTGCCACTAATTATTTATTCACCAACCCGAATGCATATGTAAAACTGCACGATTTAATATAATCATGTATAATCGATCAATTAAATTGATTTAATTATTTTTAAAATGATTTAATTGTATTTATAAGCTTCCAATTGTATTTTTTAGACTAAATAATTGCGATCACAACACACGTAGATACATAAATATAGACATATTGTAATTTTACGTAATTTACGTCTTACGTAGAGTATCGTTTTTTCAAATCTGTTGAAAAGAAATTATGCTATTCACGTAATTAGGTGCATGCTTCCATGCGTAACATGCCACAGATTTCCATTATTTTGTTTTCATGTGATATCAAAAATAGTCATCAATGTTTTGGTTAAATTACCTTCTAAATCAACGATATTTTATTTTTTTTGTTTTTTTACGTCAATAAATTACATTTAATATTAATGAATATTTATATAGAATATTTATATAGAGATTTCTGAGATAATCTCAAGCAATATTTTCCTTTGCAAAAACTTTGCAAAAACGTGTCACTTTTGTTAACGAGTTAACAAAAAAAAAAAAAGAAAAAAAAAATGACCAATAACAGAGCACGTAATTCAGTCGAGCCGTGATGGTAGTGTTGGTTATGTACCGCCGATCGAGCACAAACAAATCCAAGCAACACATATTGAAGAAAGTGTGTCGAATGTTATATAATGTATTTATTTGTTGTTCGTGATATATTGGATATAATTGGATGTAATTTTTTATAAATAAAAAAATATTTGTTAGATTCAACACACATTTTTCCATATACGTTGCTTGGATTTGTTTGTATTTTGGTCGATGACATAACCAATGCTACCGATTATGCAGTCCGTAAATGGCCAATATTTTTTCTTAATAACTCGTTAAAAAAAATTCTAATGGAAGTTTTTACAAAGGAAAATATTGCTTGAAATTACCTTAATAATCAGTTAATAAGTGTTCTGTATATATATATATAATTATTTTTATATAATAAATTTATATAATAATTTCTTTCAAAAAATATTTACAAATACATTATTTAATGCGATACGACATTTCAACCATTAATAATTTATTATTTTTATTCGAAATAAAATTTAGTCAAATTAAACTTTGAAAGTGAGTGAAGAGAGGGAATTTTACGGGGGAGATGGAAAGAGAAACTCATTGTATAATTGCTACCTGTATCCTTAAAATATTAAGTTTAGTGTGAAAGTGCAACAAGAAACGGTTGACTGACAAACCTCAGATAAGTAAAATCGAGTAAGTAAGACAATGAAATTTCTTTTATAAAAATCATATCATCGTTCGTATTGAAAGCTATAAAAATTGTGATAGTTGTACATTGTTATATAAAACATGTATCATATATGTATAGATATATTTATAAATTTGCATAATATTTTTTTATGATCTATAAACGCATGGAGAAAAATAAATATATTCGTATTAAAATATAAAAATTGAAAATGCAAAAATGTCGATTGATACAGTTCTATCTGTATTCGAGCAATCATTTATAATTAATAAATTATGACATTTTTGTATACATCAATTTTCATTTCATCTTCAGAATATCTCAAAATTATTTCAATATAACATTCTATTAAATAGATAAAAATTATTTGAAATATATCTCACGATTAATAATGATATTTATCATTTAAAATTATTTTGATCTATAAATGAAGATAGATATATATTAGCTACATAGTAAGACAATAACAAGTTGCAGTTAACCTTGAGTCATGCTTCGAGAAGCAAATGTAAAACCAAAACAAGTGATTATCTTTTATTTGCTTGAGTGCAGCCTTTTTGAATACCTGTTTGTACCATAAACCATTGTTCCTCAATTGATGTCACAACATATAAATGTGTCGCGAAAATAAATATTGTATTTTTTAATACATTTGTCAAATCAATTTAACATCAAAATCGAAGAAATTCAATATCCAATGATGAATATTTTATTTATTTATTCGAATATAAATATAAGAAACAATTATAAGTTGAAATGCCAAAAAAAAAAAAAAGGATATCATTTTTCATAATTTTTTGAAAAATCCATGGCACATGTCAATCATAGAATAAAAACTTCTCATGACACATATGTTGCATGTATTAATATATAAATATATCAATGCAATGATCCAGCTAGATATTTTTTACGAAAAAATATTAATTTATGAGATATTTAACAATTATTTCTATTATTTATTAAGTTACAAAAATTCAAAAATAATTATTTTCTATCATTGCAAAATCCACAAGCTACGATAATTCGTTGTTTCACATCTTGTTTCGTTTCAGTTATTTATATATCCTTCGTCATTGCTAGCCAATGTAATAAATGATCAATCAATTTAATCAATCAGAAAATTATACTCCTGTGAATCATCAGAATTGTGATCAGAAATATAGCGATAAAAAAAATGTTTGATACTTTTTTTATTTATATTGTTATATTAAATATTATAAATATAAAACCAATCATTTATTTATATCCTTTCCAAATTTTAGCCTGAAAATATTCCCATCGTATCACGTACGTTATATAAACAGACAATATCATTGCATATCAAAATAAGATATATACACATCTATTATCATCTAATGATGTAAAATTACGTGCAAATACGGAATAATACGAATACCCAACCTTGGCACGAAACTAAAAAAAAAAAAGAACAAAATTTAAAACGTTCTCAAGACAAATAATTGATACTGAACGAAATTAAACAAAATTATATTTTTATTAACTCAGAGATACCAACAACTGATTTACGAGTGTTAGATAAAAATGAATTTTCACAGTTTTTTAATTCAATTCATTCGTTCCATATATAACTATGACTCCTTAATTTAACTGCAACAAAAATTAAATTATTATTTAGTTTATTATAAATTATATATATATATATAAAATAAAATAAATATAATATAATAATATAATAATATAATATAAAATAAATAAATATAAAATAAAAAAAATATATAAAATATATATATATATATATATATATATTTATTTTCAATTGTTTGAAAAACGAAACAGGTTTAAAAAAAAAGAAAAAGAAAAAAAATAACTTTTTTACAGAATCATGATAGGACCGGATAAAATAGCGCAGCTGATACTACTCGTGACGTCTTTGGCGGAGACTCGAACGATCTTAGACATATTTTACAGTTACAAACTACCGAGTGATATTTTGAACAGAGAGGAGGCAGGCAATGGGAAATACGATTTTATTATAGTTGGTGCCGGATCCGGTGGATCTGTCTTGGCAAATCGGTTGTCCGAGAACAAAGGATGGAATATCCTCGTGTTGGAAGCTGGAAATACCGAGAATTTATTGATGCAGCTCCCATCGTTGTCGGTGTTGATGCAATTCTCACCCTTTAATTGGGGCTACAAGGTGGAACCCCAGGAAAATGCCTGTTTAGGCATGATCGATCGACAATGCGCTTGGCCACGGGGAAAAGTCGTAGGTGGGAGCAGCTCGATCAATTATATGATCCATACTCGGGGAAATAAATTGGATTATGATCGTTGGGCTGCGTTGGGGAACGAAGGTTGGTCTTATCGGGAGGTGCTGCCTTATTTCAAGAAGAGCGAGAGATTCAACGTTCCAGGTTAGAAAAATTGCTATTACATAACGTATATATAAGAAAGGAAAGGTTAATGAGTTTACGAAACATCGGTACAAAGTTCGGTTAATTTATTTAACCTCGAGTCTTGAATTTTCAAACACAGCTTTATAGAAGCTTAAGCTTCATATCCATGTTAAATCTTTTACCGTTGAGCGTTCAAGCTTCGAGTAATAATAATTAACAGTACATAGCTAAAAGTGAAACAGACAGTGCTAATTTGTTATTTGTATCCCGAGAAAAAAATCAGAGACGGAAAGAATTTCCAATGAAATTATATAAATAAAAAAAAAAGTAAACTTAAAGTAAAAAAAAGTAAAAAAAGTAAACTTAAAAAATAATAAATAATAAAGTAAAAAAAATATCGCATTATGAATATATTTAGAAAAAAAATTTGAATTTTTTATTAGAAATCTCTTCGTTAAAATCTTACGCAAGAAATGAAAGAATTTTTAAAAAAAAAAAAAAAAATATTTTACCTCTCGAGAGCAAAAATGAATATTATCCGTGTGAGAAATCTCGTTTGAATGTCGCAACGTTCGCCAAAATTAAAAACTTCGCACGTATACTGTGAGCAGAATAATTAAGCGGCATATTCATGTCCAGGCATCGAGAACAGCTCCTATCACGGTTACGACGGCCATTTATGCGTCGAGCATTCCTCGTACCACTCGGAAATAGGGAAAGCCTTCCTGGAAGCGGGTGAAGAGTTTGGTTACAAGATAATCGATTACAACGGCGAGGAGCAAATCGGTTTCTCCTTCATCCAAGCGAACCTGGACGCTGGGGTTAGGTGTAGCGCCGCAAAGGCGTACTTACAAGCGAACAGGCCGAACCTGAACATCGTGACCCGAGCAAGGGTGACGAAACTTTTGATGGACGGGAAACGAGTTCACGGCGTCGTGTACGTGAAGAACAAACGTTGGAAGAAAGTATTCGCCACGAAAGAGGTGATCCTCTCGGCCGGCACCATAGACACCCCTAAACTGTTAATGCTGTCGGGGATAGGGCCTAGGGAACATTTGGAGAAATTGGGTATCAAAGTGGTCCAAGACTCGAAAGTGGGTTACAACGTGTACGATCACTTGGGTTTCTTGGGTATTTCGTTCACGGTGAAGAACGTGGTCACGCAATCGATCAGGAACGCGTTCAAGTCTGAGGTATTATTGGAATACGTTTTGAACAGGAACGGTTTCCTATCGTCGATCGGAGGGCCAGAGGCGGTAGCTTTCGTCCGAACCAAGTACGCGACCGACAGCAGGCCCGATCTAGAGTTGTTGTTCATCTCCGGAAGTTTGAACTCGGACGGTGGAAGTTTGAGCGAGGCGATGAGGGTGAGGAAGGAGGTGCACGAGGCCGTGTACGAGTCGTTGGGGGACAACGAGACCTGGACGATCTGGCCGATCGTGCAGCATCCCAGAAGCGTTGGAAGGATCAGTTTGAAATCCAAGAACCCGTTCGATCCGCCCAGGTTGGAGCCAAACTTTTTCTCGGACCCGCTCGACGTGGAAATTATCTTGGAAGGGGTTAAAATCGCTCTAAATATATCGAATTCGAAAGCGTTTCGAAGATACGAGAGCACGTTGCACGATGGAATTGTACCGGGTTGTAGGATATTTGAATTTGGAAGTGACGATTATTGGAGGTGCGCCATCAGACACTTGCCATCTATGATGAATCACGAGGTAGGCTCGGTTAAGATGGGACCCAGAAGTGATCCCGACGCTGTGGTGGATCCACAGTTGAGAGTGTACGGTGTTCGGGGATTGAGAGTGGTGGACGCGTCTATAATGCCGGCTATACCCGTTGGACACGTGAATGCGGGTATTTATATGATAGGCGAGAAAGCGGCTGATATGATTAAACAAGAGTGGCAGATCGGGTATGAGAATTAGAATCACACGTTTGAATTAAATTCTGATGCAGGAAAAAAGTGAAAGATCGATTATAATTGGATTAGGATTTGGAAGAATCAAATTTTTGTGGATATTTTATATGTATTTTATATTAATTCTTACTATAAGTGAAGAGTTGTATCAAAATTATAAATGATTGTAGTTGAAAGTAATAATTTTAATTTTTCATTCATAATGTTCCTCGATGTTCAAATTATTTTAATTGTAAATTTATTATTTTATCTTTATGATTATTTTGTTACATTGTCTTGTAAAAATAAAAATTTTATCAAAAAGTGAGATTACGTTAAAAAAAATGATGCAAGTGAACATATTTATTGAGTGAATTTAATAGAAAAATATTGGAACAAATTGATCGAAAAATACGATTAGTTACATCTATTTACGTATTTTTATACAATACCAGAATATGATAACATCAGACTATTTTTTTCAATGATAGTATCTACTTCTTTTACATTACATTTTTAATTTATCGGTTTTCCTTTCATTTATCATGTTCCATAAATAATATATTACATAATTTTTCTTTTAAAGTAATTTCATTTTAATTGCAAATAGAAATTACAGGAAAACGAATAATCATTGAATAAAAGATGAAACATTAATCATTTCGATGATAGATAATATGACTCGGGAAAATAATATTTTTATCGACATATTGCAAAAAAAAGAAAAATATTTCAATTTTCATATTTCTATTTTATAAGAACAAATGACAATACGTTATAAATTATTTTTAACAAAATCACTTTAGCTCGAATATTAAATTGATTTAATAAAACATTATTTTATATAATGTTAATAAAAAAATAATAATTGAAATATGTCTGAAAATAAATAGTAAACTATATGTAATTCTATTTTACACAATGAATAAAAAGAAATATATATATAAAATATTTTATCTTCTATAAATTAAAATAATCATAAATATTAAAAAAAAATTCCATATCAAACCATCAAAGAAGTTAAATAACTTTGAATTATTAAGAAAAATAGAAATTATTAAGAAAATATTAAGAAAAAATATAACTCCATTTATACGATAGAAGATAACAAATAATTTGCATGCGATAATATGTCATGCAACAATCAGATGACCTACATACTTGTTCATTTCCAATAAAAGCGAATTCTACGTGGAATAATATCAACGAGTTCATCAATGATACGAGGAAAATATAGGAGAATGATTCATATTTCTTCGTTTAATATACTTTCGCGAAATATTAGAGAAAAATGAACAATCATTAATTTTATTCACAATATTCTCAACTAACTTGTATTTATGAAAAAAAAAATATTTATGAAATTGTAAGAAAATAAAGAAATTAAAAAAATAAACGTAATTCATGAAATTTTTAAAAAAAATTTTAAAATAAAAAATTCTAAAATAAAAAACTAATAATATATTATTTGTCTTTTCAGAAATAGATATTTGGATTATTAATCTCGTGATCCTATTTCCAATTGCCTGAGTTGAACTAAATAAGTCTTCATGCAAGTTTATTAATTTCACCTTGAGATTATTTAACCTAATTTTATTTCTCCAATATTTAATTTTTTATAAAATTAATGTATTTTGATTTAGAAATTATTGATTTAGATAAACTATAAGTAATTTTAATTATAAATTATTGAAATTTGAAACAATATAACTATTTATATTGTATCAAATAAATGATAAGCTATTTATATTGTATCAAATAAGTGATAGATTATATTTATACAAACTAAAAAATATCAAGCTTCAAGATCAAGCTTGCGTCAAAATTATGGATATTTTTTATACATAAATATCAATATTTTATAATACAATATCATAATCGATCAGAATAAATGCAATGACATAACCTTAAAAAATGCTCTTGAAAACGAAACAAAGTTAAAATTAAAACAATGTAAAAATAAAACAAGACAAGAGAAATAATCTAATCAGTTTATTTTATCAGATATTCATATATAAAAGTTGATAATAAATTTTAAAACAACTTTGAGAGATTTTTTTATCATTCTATGCCTCGAAAATATCATTTAAATCATTTTCAGTCATTCTTTATGTTTAATAGTAACAATAATTTAAATATTCGATTTAAGTAAAGTATTTAAGTAAAGTATTTTATATATTCATATCAAACATAAAAGATATGATATTAACAAGATCAGTATTCTGTCAAATGAATAATAAAATTAATTGTCCAATTAATTTCAGAAATGCATAAATTTTATGTACAAATCACACCAAAGTATCAATCTTAGATAAATCAAATAAGAGTTAATATTATTTTACCTATAACCAATAACAGAAGCTTTCAAAAAGAATCAAGCATGGCAGCTCTAGGTTAATATATTGCAACGCTTGATTAAACCACGAAAAATACCTATTTTTTTATTTATCTACATACCTGATACAACGAGAGCTTCGTTTGGACCACAAGTATGAACGTTTCCCATTGTCAGTTTAACTTTTTCTTAATGAAGATACAACAACAAACCGGCACAAGCAAACAACTAGCACTAACACGATTATCACTGACACTAATCTATACAATAAATAGGCAGTGATGAAATATCTATTATTTCAAAAACCCCGGTATATTATTAATAACATGCAACAACCTGTATTACTCGCGCGTCGTAAGGTTACGATGTTACTCAAAGCCACTACCCAAAATTATTTGTAGCTTTTGCAAAACCCTAGCTTGTAGCAGTACCAACCTATAATCTTATACACGTAGCGACATCTTTTTATATTATAAAATTTATTTCAAAATTAAAATTAATTTATTTTATAGAATTTTTTGATAAATAATCAGATAATAATAATTTTATTGAAATTATAATGAATGTATTTATATAATATTTGAAACATTATTACTTGTATATTATTAATAGTTACAATAAATGATAAATTATTTTATCGTACGATAAATGCATTTCAATAACTTCTCATTTCGTATAGAAAATTATTAAAAACTTAAAAGATGACATATTCCTATAATTTTAAACTATTTGCTTTTGAAATAGTTACATAATTATATTTTTCTTTAATATAATATCTTTTTTATGTAAGATATAAAAAAAGGAAGATTCCTTTTTTTATAAGAATAAATTTTTTTTCATTAAAAAATAATTGGAACATAAACAAAAATTATTGTATTTGACGTATTGTAGCATATTTTTAGAAATAATTTTTAATGTTTTACTACATATAATGGTAGTATTGCTCAGATACAATCAAATGAATGCAGTTCAATTTTGTGAGAACGCAGCATAACATAACCTCTTAAGTTCTAGTGTTGTTTTGATCTTGATTCTTATATGGAATTTAGAATGTAATAGATTTGATAAAATAACAATTATAAAGACTTTGTTTTAAATACAATATTAATAAACATTGACAAAATGTCAGAAGACGAAGTGGAAAGTTTTGAAATCACAGATTACGATCTTGAAAATGAATTCAATATTAATCGCCCTAGGCGTAAATTGTCAAAAAAACAACAAATGCTTGGTAAATATTTTATTTTAATATTATTATATTAAATATTATATTTGTTTAAAATATTACTGAAACAATTTTTTTTTCATTGTAATGAGTTGCAAAATCTAACCAAAATATTATTTTTAGGTATTTGGGCTGATGATAGCGATGAAGAAGAATTATCTGCTAGACCATCATTTAAAACTTTTGATAAAGGACCAAAGAATTATACAACTCCTGTAAATTTTGTAGCAGGAGGTATTCAACAAGCTGGGAAGCCAAAAGAAGAAACAGATGATAAAGATGATGATGAAAGTGATAATGAAAATATAAAATCACAAAAGGAATTTCCAAATAGTTCAAGGTACATTTCAAATTAAAATATTAAAATTTTTATTCATTTAATAATACATAATATATTAATATTATAAATAATAAACTATATTTTTGTTTATAGTTCTGATGATGAAAGACCCAATTCTATACATCAACGTGCATCATTCTCATTAAATACAGATGGAGATATTGCAGGTTTACGTAAAAAGAAGCATAAAGTAAATCCTTTATTAATGCAAAGTGGAATGGGTAGTTGGGAAGTTTATACAAAAGGTATTGGAGCTAAATTGTTGCTACAGGTATATATTAAATGGTAATAATTTTATTAATACTATTGTACAAGTATGTTTATATTTATTAATATGATGATAATTTAGATGGGTTTTGAACCTGGAAAAGGATTAGGTAAACAATTACAAGGTATAAGTACACCAGTAGAAGCACATTTAAGAAAAGGCAGAGGTGCAATTGGTGCTTATGGACCAGAAAAAGGTCCAAAAGTTCCAGAAAAGAAAAAAGAAGATGAAATAGATGAAGGAAAAGAATCAAAAACTAAATTATCACAATGGAGAAAAGATGGAGGTACTGTTAAGAAAAAAGTAAATTATGTATATCGAAGCGTAGACCAAGTTTTGGAGGATGGAAAATTGAAACCTAACAAAAAAGTAAGAATATCCAATGAAATGAGTAAAGTTAAAGTTATAGATATGACTGGACCAGAACAAAGAATTCTTAGTGGATATCACGCGATAGCTGGAGGTCAACAACGACCTGATGAAAATGTTGTTACTGATAAAAAATCTAAAGTTAATTTTGCATTGCCTGAACTACAACATAATTTAAATATACTTGTGGACATGTGTGAACAAGATATTATACAAAATGATAGAAGAACACGACATCTGAGTGATAGGGTTGTTGCACTAGAAGCAGAAAAGAAAAATTTGTCTAAAGTTATAGATCAACATAGTCAGTTAATAGATACATTAGAAAATGTTCTTGCAATTGTAGACAGATTGATGGATGAAACCAATCAATTAACATTACAAGAAACTGCAGATGCTTTCAAAGATTTACAAGATAAATATTATGAAGAATATAAAATGTATGAACTTGGTGAATTAGCTAGTAGTTTTGTTGGTCCAAAAGTAAAAGATTGTTTAATTAGTTGGAATCCATTAATGCAACCAAAACAACCAATTAAATTGTTTGAGCAATGGAAAAGCATTTTAGAAAGTGGTACTACTACTCTTCAAACAAGAACTATGCATCCATATGATCATCTTGTTTGGAATTCATGGATGCCTTCAATTAGAGGAGCTATTCAGTAAGTATTTTGTTTATAAAAAATTATCATTATTAATTAATCATTAATATATTTATTAAGTAATATATTTTTTTTTATAGACAATGGACATGTAGGCAACCAGAACCACTAATAGAATTAATAGAACATTGGATGCCACTTCTTCCAAATTGGATATTAGAAAATATTTTAGATATGTTAGTTCTTCCTAAACTTACCTTAGAAGTAGAAGAATGGAATCCTCTTACTGATACAGTACCTATTCACACATGGATTCATCCTTGGTTACCACTTTTACGTATGTATATACTTGACAAATTTATTAATGATTAATTTTTAAAATACAAAAAAATTATTCCAATATTGACATATTATTGTTATTATTATAGGAAACCGTTTGGATACTTTAATATATCCAATAATACGACGTAAATTAGGATCTGCGTTAGGTGGTTGGCATCCGTCCGATAGATCTGCTAGGCTAATGTTACAACCATGGGCTAATGTCTTTGCAAAAGGAGATATGGAAGCTTTCTTGGTGAAAAATATCATTCCAAAATTACAAATAGCACTTTCGGAATTTGTTATAAATCCACATCAACAACATTTAGACCAATGGAATTGGGTATATGAATGGAAAGAGTTAATTCCGTCTCATATAATGGCAGGATTGTTAGATAAATTCTTCTTTCCTAAATGGTTACAAGTTTTGGCTCTTTGGTTAAATCATTCACCTAATTATGATCAAGTTACAAATTGGTATATGGGATGGAAAGGCATGTTGAGTGAAAAAATATTGGCTGAACCGCTAGTAAAAGGTAACTGTTCAATATTTAATTTATAATAATAAATAAAATCATAAATTTATGTTTATACATTCATTGGTTTGCAGAACATTTTAAAAAAGCATTAGAATTGATGAATAGAGCAGTTTCTGTGCCACAAAGTCATCAACCGGGTGCGATGGAACAAGTTTCGTATTTAACGAGTTTAGAAAGGACGCAACCTACTATGTCACAAATGCCTCCAACTGCACAACCAAGAATGGAGGTATGATTTAGAATATTATCAATAATAAGTTAATAATTATTTGTAATAAAATATCTTTTTTTTTTTTACAGAGACTTGCAGAAGCAGTTAGAACAGCATCACAAATACCTCAAGGTTTTAAAGATCTTGTTCAAAAGAAATGCGAAGAAAGAGGTATTTTATTTATGCCAATACCGAATCGGTATAGAGAAGCAAAACAAATTTATAAAGTGGGTAATGTTCAAGCTTACATAGACGGAAACGTTGTATTCGTTTGTCATAATGGCATGAATTGGATGCCAACGCACTTAAATGCTTTATTAGATATGTCTGAACTTTAGAAATAATTATAATCGCAAATATGTATGTTTAATTGTATACATACTTATATATCTTGTACATATATTGTAAAATATTTTATAATATATGATATTGAAAAAATTGCATTAGATAATATGCATAACAAATAAAGTCAAATATAATTTTTTGTATATTTGAATTTACTACAATTTTTTTAAAACCTCATTTATAATCTATTTAATATGATCTATCCTAATAATATATATAGATATGCAATTAATGTAATATAATACATTATATAATGTAATATAATATAAACAGAATTTTAATTCTTAATAGAGAAATTGCAATTCAAGCATTTCCAACATACATATAACAAAATTTATTTTTTTTATTTTCTTATAGAAACAAATTTTCAATCCTTTTTTCTGTACATTTATAACTGTACACATTATAGTTACGAGACGCTTATATCGAGGCGCTCCATCTGAAACATTTCTACATGTTTCGTACAAGGAGAGAACATCTCTTTCCTTCGATGGTACTCCCGGCATTCACGTTTCACGAATGCAGTCTTGCGTTCGTGAATGTTTGTCTTATTGACCACTTCTGTTCAAAGCAGTCGAAGTCGAACGCGTGTAGGCGCCCCTGGTTATCCTACTACTGAGGCGCAGCTATAAAACTCCTCAATATGGAAAGTTGCACGTGATCCTAAGGAGTCGTACGTATGTACCTACAGAGTCGTCCAATAGGCATCGTGTATTAACTACTACGATGTGTGCCGGTCCTGTGTACCAACCATGGGCGCCACCATGCATAAGGCATATAGATTCCCTGCTTTACACGATACGAACCTTATTTGCAATATGACATTATGATAATTTTTGAAATAAATGTTTTTATAAGATAAAGATGAATGAATATTATATAAGAATTAAGAAATTTAAATTTTATAAAATCATTTATATATGGTAAATAAGTTATTTTGCAAGATTAATTTAAATATTAAAATTTAATTTAATTTAAATATTCTAAAATTATACTGAAATATATGGAATTAAAAATCATTTATGTAATTATTATATTTAAAAAATATTTATATATAAGATTTTTATATTATTGTCATGATTTTCATTCGTTTTTTATAATAATAAATAATTAATAACAATATTAAAATATTAATAAATAAGCATTTCATTAATAGATTTAAATCTTTGAAAAATTTAATTTTGTTCTAATTATAGATACTCGACTTTCTTCTTTTCAATCATTATACACATTTCTCAAATGAATAATTACAAGTGCAGTCAATCGCAACAACCTGAATACTTAATAATCTAAACTATATAAGAAATACAAAGTTATTTTTACATTTCTCAATTGAACCATGAGTTTGATTCTAGGTGACGCCTATGGCACTACTACCAATGAATTCGCGTCTCATATGTAGAAGACTGGTCCTGTAAGAGGATGGACATCTCGCCTACACGCCTAGCAGATCTGTGCTCTCGGGTGTCGAGAAAATTTGCATCGGATCGGAGTGTCTGCCTAGTAACTAGCTGCTTTTACTACAACGGGTATCGCGCGGCTTGAGATTCGAGAAATGCTTCTGCATTCTCGTCTTCTTCTTCTTTCCTTCGTTCATTGTGTGTGTATTCACGATATGCATACTTATATGTATACGAGGCGAGCACTTGTCGAACTGCCTGCCAGATCTTAATGTCTATCGTACCATTCGTACCGATTGTACGAAAGGCAGTCGAGGTGAAGTTGTCGCCTCACGAAGGAAAATATTGGACCGTTCGCGTTGAAAAAATAAAATAACATGCTTGGGAAAGGATTGAATCGCGTGTGCGTTGCCTGATATTTTTTGAAGTGTTCGTAATATTTTTCAAGCATTTGATCGACTTTTGTCGAAGACAAAGCGACCAAATGCAGATATTTATCATTGGTTTTTCGCGATTCTACCGAGTGATATTAGATTTTGTAAAATATCATTTGATCATTGGATAATACATGAACGAATATTAAGAAATAGAAATAATATTTTTTTGTACAAGGTAAATTATTAATAAAAATATACGTACATTTGCACGATCAAAAATGATTATCTCGTGTTCTTTGAATCTGGTTTATGTTTGATTCATTTTTATTTATAACTAGATTATAATAAATGCTAATAACTATATTTTTTAGTATTAAAAAAATAAAAAAATGATATATTTTCATATACATATGTATGTGTACTTATTTTTTACTCTGTTTCAGCAATAAAATCAAAAACCTGTTCTATTCTCATTAATTAAATACACGTATATCTCTAATTATAAATAATATATTTATTTATTGCTATTTATGCTGTTTTTATCTATTTTAAACTACAATTATATGTATTGAAAAATATATAAATTTATTTATTTATATAACTAATTAATTATTATTAATTATTATATATAATTAATTATTTATTTATTAATATCCTTAACATTAAATAATATTTATTTACATAAAATGTACATAATATTACGAAATTTTTCAAAATGAATAAAAATATAGTAAAAGCATCGTTGTTAATGAAAATCAATTCAATACAGAATTATAATTTTTAGGATAAATTTATAATATAATATATATTATATTAAAATATAATAAACAAAATTTTTTGATAAAATAAAAAAAATCAACTCAAAATATTTGATAAATTATAAGTAGTAAATATTTTAAAGATTAACATAGATTCAATTTGAAGGAAGTGAGGTTACCTGAGCGAGGCAGCCACTTAATGGCAGCACCATTCAGATTGTGCTATCACAGTGAATGAAGTCTCTTTCGATAACAGGTGAAAGAGTAAGCCAATATCACGACCCTTGCATTTCCTCGTCCATAATATTTTGCAAGAATATATTTCCTGGAACAGAGAATAATGATATTCTACTTACGAGTTATATATAAATTTTTTTTGGATTATTTTTATAAAAATATTTAATACATGTTAAGTTTGTTTCTATAAAAAAAATTTTGAATAAATCGTCAATATGCCAATGATTGTTATATAAAAACATAAAAATAATATATTTTTACTAAGCATTTGTAAGATTTATTTATTTTTTTTTTGTCATTCGTTTCTATTTCTAATCGCATAGGTATAAATTAATAACCGCGATATAGCTTTCTAAGACTAGCTAATAATTAACTTCTGCCGCGATAAATTTGCTTTTCCATATATAATCTATTTAAAAGACGATATGCACGTAACACAATATTTTTTAACAAGTGATACATACACTATAAGTTAAATCGTTCTAAATGCGAAAGAAATTTGAATATAATGTTCGATAGGTGTTCGATTATTTATTAACATTGTTGCAATGTTCAAATAGTTTATTCGAGAGGTCGACGGCCTAGAATAGGTGGTACATTCGCAGACGTATGTTTTCAGTAAAACATGATCGCGCCCAAACATTCCAATCCCACGCAAATTGCTGTCCCTAAGTCCCTCTACGAAATACCAAGTACTCATAGACGGTCAAACGTCAGAACAATTTAAGGACTTGATTCCGACAATGTTTCTAAAAAGATAGAAAATTATTTATAATACCGAAAATATATAATTAAAATATTGATTCATAAAAAATTATAACTTATAAAGATAATATAATCAATAAAATATATCGAAAATATATTGAATAATTGATTTCGAATTTTTAATTTTCTAGTGATAAATAAATTTTGTGAATTTAGGTTATGTTCATGTGAAATTTAGATAATAATATACAAATTTATAAAGCTTTGCACGCTACTCACTTTTAATTTTATGATATATTTTAGATTTTAAGAAATTATGATTAAATTTATGTAATACATATATGTAAATAAATTTGACGAATGATTTGTCAATTTGATACACGAATAATTATTTCAAGAAATTAATAGACATACGACTTATCTTCATATCGATCATGGACGTTGCAAGATTTAAAATAAAATGCTGACTAAAATATAATTTATTACTGTTAAATGTTAGAACAATTGATAGCAAATATTATAATAGTATTATTATAATAGTATTAAATGTCAATGAAAGGTTATGAATTTCATTAACATAATATATAACATAATATATAACATATAACATTCTATTTATTATGTTAATATATAGTTATAAGATAATATAGAATATGTATAATTTTACATAATAAATATTATATTATACATAATAATATTTATGAATAGTTTAAAATAATTTTTAGGAAACAGGATATAAGATTTCAAAAGTCTATTATTCTTATAAAATTTACGTAGATAATAATATCAATTATATTATATTTTTATTGACTGATATGTCATAAATCATGAAAATTTGAAATCGTACAAAATAAGAGAGAAAATTTGCATCATTATATGATATTAGATTGGTAAACGAATACACATACACATAATGCATATCTATATAAGATATGCTCGACAGGCTTCCTTTAACCTCGATCGTCATTTTGTTCTTCTTTCCATATTATCTGAAAGGCCTCCCAGGTCGTGGCTCCTACTATAATGTACCGAACCAGTATTACAGTGTTTCATGGACGTGGTTCTATGTGTGTGCATGCAAGTGTCATTTATATACACTATTACTATACACAGAAACGACTATTCGATGTGGAACGATAGCGAGCTAAAGGATTGTTTTAGATATAAACGTCAGTATGCTTTCTACTTATAATGTATTGTTATTTCTTTCTTTGTTTTCTTATGCCAATACATGGAAAAAGAAATATATGTTAATAGAAATATAAATTTAAACAAATAAGAATAATTTAAATTATACAAATCATATTATATAATATAATTATATATAAAGAAAAATCAAATCTTTTAAATTAGATATATTCATTTACGTTAGAATTTTATAATAGAATTTTATGAATTTAATCACTTTCAAGATTGCTTGATCGAAATTCGAGAGTTTTTTTTTGCATATGAATGAGTCAGAGGGGAAACGTTGGCTACGGGTGAACGAACATCAAGGGAGTACACCGGTGTATCGAAGCGAGCAACAGGTGTGACTCGTGTATCTCTGCTGGATACTTACGTGAATAATCCGGCTGGTCGATTCGTTGGCAGGTGTACATAACCGCGTTCTGTCTAGAGTCGCATGTGTCTCCACGGGAAATGACGTGAATGATTGCTTTCCACGATATTATTTCGTTACACGAACCGCTGATCACTATGCACGAAATACATCAAAATTTTTATAGATTCTACCGCTAGATATCGTATCGTTCGCGAACGAAAGTTTCGATTACGTCAACTCGCAAGTTATCGACCTCTCGGCTAATCTCAACCTATGACAACTTCAGATGGATTCGATTAATCTTCGATATTTAATGCTGACAGGTAAAAAATAGAGATATAATTATAAATTACAATAAATTCAGAAAATTTTATCAGAAAACAAGTGATGTTGAGAATTTTTTTCCAATAGCAAGACATGGAAACTAATTAAAATTCCGAACAATAAGTAAGGATCGCTGTTGATTCGTGGCATGCACCTGTGGAGCGAGGCGAAATGCACGAAGAGCAAGAAAAGGAACAAAAAGACAGGGTGATGTTCGACCGAACGATTTTCTCTGGCCCTTTAATCAAGAAGGAGGAACCCGTAACGACGTAGCGCGTAATGAGTAATGACATCTGGTCTGTATAGGGCGGGGCTAACAGGTCCCACGCGGTCTCTTGGTTATACATATATGTTTTACGTACACTAACACTATCGTCCGGTTTCTGCTCATTTAAACACTTACGAACTCGATTTAAACGACCTCCATCCGTGCGATTGCCTCTCGTCCGCGTTATTCGTATCGTTCGTGTAAAGCTTCGTGCAGATTTATGAGATTAAATTTATTTATGTGTCTAAGTATGAAATAGATCTTGTTTTGTTAGAAAAAGTTAATTAATTTTAATATTTAATCGAAATAACGATTTAATATTTTGAATAAAAACGTGTTTAAAATTTTGTAGCTAAAAACTAATTTTCTTTTTCATTGACTATTGATTGAAAATTTATTGATTTCTGTGATTATGACTAAATCTTCAAACTATTTCAAAAAATATATTTTTATTCCATGAATTATTTTATTCCAATTTATAAAGATAAAACTATCTTATTAATAAATAACCTCAAAAGATCGAAACACACTTCGATTTTCATAGAGTTTATTAGCTAACATAGCTCGGTTGCGTAATAGTTAGAAACGCATAAAACGCAATTATAAATCCATTTCATAACGCGAACTGTTAGTGCCAGATACAGACGTATACGCGTGTATATTGAAAGTGCAATATGTTCGCGTTAAAACATCCGCTTGCTAAATACGGTATAAGCGTATCTTAGAATCATACCGGGTGATACTGTTGCAGCATTTTAGCTTTGTCGCTGACATCTGAATCGTAATTGCGTACGAAATATTATACTATACGGATAAGGATTTCCTAATATGGACTAAGCTTATATGGAAAGATAAACTATTTTACATTAGGATGTCTAACGTCCTCTCTAACATCTTGTATACAAGAACGAATCCGGTTGTGTAACGGTTTAATAACAAAAACTATATTACCGACATAAAAAAGCAAGAATATAATTTCTTTGTACAATTTTTCATTTGTGTTTCATGAAAATATAACTGTTGTACGGAAATTTCTCTCTCCATTTTATATGTTAATTGTGCTCTTTACAGTGAAATATTTTCCTCTAAAAAAGGATTGTAGTTAAAATTTGACAGTGGATCGTATTTTGCGTCGGAGGTGAAAAGATTTTCTCAATAACTTTATAGGAATTTTTGTTATCTTTTTTTCTTTTGTGTATTAAAGTTTGTGACATAAAGATATTATAAAATTTTACAAAGCATATTTGTCTACAATTAATGAATCTTTCGAATTTTCGAATTTACGTTACTACAAAGAAGAGGTTAACTTTGTTATAACTTCATATATATATATATACATTTTTCTTAAAACATGTGATATTATATGTTACTTTGGTTAATTTGTGTCATGTAAGAATCATGTTAATCGTTTCCAGGGACAAAATATCTATGTTGATCGAAAAGAATATACGAGAAAGAAGGGCGAGAAACTGGTCATTACGAGCGAATAGCTGCGTCGAAGTTGTGAGAACCGTGGTGCTCTGAGACGGTGTTATTAAGCAAAAATATTACACCGTTTTCAGAGCATTAACGAACAAGTTTTACAGGGGAACGTAAACCGTGGCCGGCTCATATATTAAGCTGGTTTGAATGTTCTATGAACGAATACGACAAATCCATGCTTCGGTTCTGACCTTCTTTGGCGCGACAGCGTGGGCGCATTTACTTCAGACGGAATTACAGTCTGCACTTACTCCATCTTACCTCAGTCATTTCAGTATAAGTAACTGCAATCGTGAACCGTGACCGTTGTATCGTATCATCTGGTTTACGTAATTATACGTATGAATGCACCGTCTTGGATCAAAAGATAATTCGCCCGGAAGTGATTCTTACGTGAGCTTGGTGGTCCTTGATGATTACAGAATTTAGAATTCGTCGCAGCATAGGAAGAAACTGGTTTTACCTGAATCATTTCACGGTTGGGAAAATGGATCGCACATTAGCCAGGACACTGTTAGAAGTTGTCGAGTTAACTCGCAATGTTTTATTATAAAAAATAAGAATTACGATTTTCATATTAGATTAAAAATAGAATACTTAAGATATTCCAAGACAAGAATTTGGAATTTTTCTAGTTATTTTTATTATTATTTTTTTTTTAAATATCAGTTCAAGGAAATTTTAGGATTGATTTTTAAGGAAATATCGGTAAGTGATCTTTAATTTATTCTTATGTATATAATTACATAATAATTAATATAATATTATATATTTTAGGAGATGTATATATTTTACTATGCATTTTTGCAATTAAATGGTATGTACAAATGAATCGAGCTCAAGTATTTTCCTGATTCAAAACGTTGTATCTTTGAATGGATAAATGAAATTTAATATACGAATCAACAATAAGTATAATATTATAGCAAGGAAACTTGGTTAAAAGCCAAGAAATGTAAATCACATAGATAGTTTGATCTACACGGAATCGTAATGGATATGCAAAACTAGAGTAAAATGCCAGATATCGTTTAGTGATTGGAATAAGCACGATTCAGACTGTATTACTTTTGCAGTCAATCACGTGCTTGACTATATTATCTGCGAAGTAAGCTGTTTTCATTGAAAATTGGTATTTGTGATCTCTAATAAAATAATATCATTATAGTAAAATGATACTATGAACAAAAGTAATAATTGATAACTGATTTTATTTGAATTTCAGATGGTAAAATCTTTTATATCTTTTATTTATAATTCTAAATATATATTAATATTTGAATTTTTATTTTTTCACATAAATATTAATCTTATAATCATATAGCAAAAAATGGATTATCACTAAATAATTATATCCAAATATATTATATCCAATATGTACTTAAATATTTATTGATATGTCTTTTAAGTCATTTTATAAAATAACATTTTATTAAATTGTGAAACATAAAAATTCCAGAAAATGGATTTTTTTTTTCCAGAAAATTTTCTTCAAGATCATAAATCATTTCAATCATATCTATTTATCATTCGTCTTATTCATATTAAAAAGTTTCTTTCGTTTGTCAATCGAATGATCAAATCATGAGCTATTATATTAGTCACACCTATAATCGGGCAATAGAGTCGTATACAGTTTTGCTAGTTGTTCAACACGGATATCACGTTACACACGTAACGTGGAGTAAAAGTACAGATGCTTGAACTCTTATCATTTATCAACTGATTTAGCCGTCGTTGAAAGAGCTGAGCAACGTGCCTTGTTTCCCCATATATGTATAGTGGCACGCTTATCGCATATCGAAACTCTGACACGAACTACATCTCGCAAAACTCTAAACTTGCTGTTTGCATAGTTACAGATTTTTATAATGGCGCGTTAGCATTGATATCGACGCAAGATAAACAGTATCTGTATTTCTCGACCCCGAGGGATCATTTCCTGTTTTGCAAGCAAATACTTGACACGTTAGCACATTGCAAAATTTTCGAAAATATATATAAATTTCGTTTCTTCATCCAGTTGGCAGACCACTCCAATTGGAATCGAAACACTGGTTAACACATTTTCTGCAACAATTTATTACTTCTGCCGTTTATATTCGCCGCCATTTAACAGATATTTACGCCACATTAATAATGTGGTAACCGCGTGATTCTTGAAAATTTTCTCATCTGGCTGCATCGTACATGTCGTTCACAAATCATAAACACATCTCTGCGACAAAATTATGCGCTCACCTTATTCACTCGTAACGTGTAAATTATGAGCCAACAGTGGACCGGTTTCCATCGAACTGAATCCGAAACCTTATTCATTTTTTATATTTTGAATACGAAAAAATGTATGTACAAATTTCGGATATTGGATAATATCAATTTTATGTGTTTATTCTTGGAATGATTATCGTAATTTAAATTGGAATGTTTAAAATTTATATAAATTCGAATATATTTTCACTTTTCATATATATATATATACGTATATTTATAAAATAAAAATAATTTAATATTAATAGAATTGTTTACATATGAATTATTTATATTTTTTAAATTTATACTTATTCTCTAACGATAAATTCGACAATTTGTTGTTGACAAGTTTTATTAAAACATATTAGATAAACTTTGACATTTCATGTTAAAATAGGTAAGTTATATGTACTTGTTAATATAACTTTATTCATTTATTTAACATTCGTAAACAAATAGTCATCAATCTCGTTTCTATTTCTTTCTATTCGTTTCTATTCATTTTTCAAATAAAACTTTACATTTATATCTCAATAAATTTATTATAACTTTTCAGAATAATCTTTGTTTCTTCTTACCTTTTTAAATCAGCGTAGCCCGAAATCATGATTTCATTCATTGAGAGAAATCCGAATGAGCGTCGGAAATGTCTCTGACGACAAGCGGTTCTCGTTCGGCGGAACCGCCCGCGCAGTACTTCGGGCGCGCCGAAGGGGGCCGAGGTTGGCCGAAGCCGGGCGAACACGGACGAATAGTCGGCTCGAATCGCGCTGCCGCGATGCATCGGTTCGAACGCGCGCACGGGCTGGCTGTCTCGCTTGTCTCCCTAGTGCGTCGTTCGAGGTTTGTCCCTTCTCGTTTCTCTATTATTACAAATCGTGACGGGCAGCGATTTTTCGAAAATACGCGCGCTACTGCGACACACATCGATATCAGTGTAATTTCATCATAATTTTCGATTGACGTTACAACATTACGAAGAATGTTCGAACATTTTCTATATGTACAAGTGAGTGACTCGATGAACTCGTTGCCCGCGTGACACTTGAATGTGATTGTCGACGCGCGCGCGTATATTGCCGACACGCGGTTCGATTGTCGCTTGACAGGTTCCCATTATGCTCGCTCGACATTAGGAATTGTGTGCAACATTTTGTCAGAAACGTTATTTGCCTATGTAGTTCGCGTAATTATCTCGGAGGGCGCGACGGAGGAGAGAAACGCACGGAATACGGAAGACGTGATGTATGTGCCAATTGACAACTAACCTTTACGCGAGTGCACGCGTGTGCCGCGTGGTTATCCACGATCTGAAGTTTTCGCGGTTATACGAAGCACGCGGTTATTTGTGGCACGAGGAACTTCTTAGAGGAGAAGAAGCTATAAAAGATTGATCAGTTGAAAGTGGAAAACGCTTCTCCGACCAGGCCCGTTATGGATTCCTATCCGATGGTGAGTCGTTATTTAATAATATTATCCCGCCTTTTTCTGGAAGTGTGCTAATGTGTTGACATTTTTTTCAAGCATGTCGAATACTTACTAGTTGTTATCTTCTGTTATGTATAAATACTAGGAAAATTTTGAAGGAATATTTAGAATAAATTCTAATCATATACGATATATGTCGATATGTTTACAAACTAAGATATAGAATATTCGTTTTCTAATTCGTAATAATATCATGTTACTTAGATTTTTAATGCGCATGTGTATAATTACGTGTAACTAGATTAATCAAATTTCAAACAAATAACTATGTTTGTTGTAGTAATCAATTTTAAGCATTTCAATCACTAAATTCCGTCGAATCTTATAAAGATCGATTATCGAAAGGCAAGTTGTATGCTTGCGATAAATAGAGACATTTCTTATTATTGGTAGCAAGCATTCGATTGGAGTATTATTATGTCATCAAACACGATACATACAATAGGCGCTTAGGGGTTGAATATTTTCATAATCGTGAACGGAATGATAATAATGGTCGGCATAAGTTACAGTCTCTGGAAATGGCTATTAGCGAACCGTGCAAATGTAGCAATTCGCGAGTCGCCGCAAAAACAAGTTATCATTCGGAAAATTGCGATTCATCGTATTTAATGACATCGTTTCGTTTCTTTATTTATTTTATTCTTTATTTACTTTTTACAACAAAGTGAGTTATTTATAAATAAAATAAGTTAGAAATTTTTAATAGATTATATCAATTTTTGGTTATACAAAATTTTGTTTTAATCATATTTTTATTTTATAAAATTAAATTTTGTAAAACTACATAAGAATTTATTATAAGAGAAGTAACATTATAAAGTATTTTTAATTTTAATTTGTTTTTTCAAATGTTTTGAAAAAAATGTATTTAGAATGAGATTGAAAAATAAGTAACAAAAACATAATTTTTTGATGTTTATATTATATTATAAGATTGAAATATCATAAATATACATATTTATATTAATATTAATCTTAATATGCTATTATTTCATGTTAATTTCCTAATGCTAATTGAAATACTGAAAGAAGAATATTCAAATTATATATCTGAGATCATAATTTAAATATTCCTTCAAGCTTCAAGGAAATTTTAGAATTAGAATTTTATCTTCCTTTTTTATTCAAAGTATGAAAAGGAAGGTATAAAACAATACGAATAAAATCAAATTAAAAACGTTTTAACTTCCATATAAAGTATTAAATGATACGAGTCACTCGAATTTTCATTTTTTGAAAAATTAAAATTTTTTAACTTTATCAATTAACTTAGCGCAATTGATTAATTGATTTTTATGCGATGATTTTCAAAGATTTTTGAATAAAAATTTTAAATATATAATAATCCAAAATAGGGAAATTGTTTAGACATTTTCGTGCAATAATGTATTTAATTCATGCCCAAATATACAAAATTATTTTACAAAATTTTCCGCTCGTAAAAGTAGAATCTCAGGAACGGTCAAGATTAAAATGATTTATTTCCGTGACGAAAATCCTCTGGAGGAAGTCATGCAATTAATTGCAAAATTATCACCGCATCTTTGCAACGTTGCTCGTAATAAAGCAGATAAATCGGACGAGCAGAACGCGAGGTAAAATCGTGCCGCTAGTTGCTGCAATCGTTGCAGATGAGCTCTCCGGATTGAGCAGCAGGATAATGATCTTTCCATGGTATTATCTTGATCCTAGCGGATTTCTTGTCAGAGAATGCCTTCCAAGTTCCAATTTCGTATAAATTATCGGCCTTTCCGAGATGTATTCTAAAACTAGCTATTAGAAGGAAAGCGATTTTTTTGAAAAATAAATCAAAAATATAAAATGAAGATAATATAATTTTTTCATTTAAGATCTCGTTATCGCGAAAATTAATTTTATTCGATATTTCTAATTTTTCTTTTAATAAAAATTTGTTTTAAGTATAGAAATATCGGAAAATAAATCGAAAATAAAATTTTTTTCGTTCGAAGAAAGTATTATCTTCGATAAAATCAAGTTTGAAATTACGTTTCGTTCAATTTCGATACGAATTAATAGAGAGTTATTTTGCGTAATGTAAATAGATGAAATATAACAACAATATGAAATATATAACAATATTCTCTATTCGAAGTTTTCATTTTTAAAAAAAAATTTTCTCAAAAAAAAGAATAAAAAAATATTACATTTTTCACTCGTTTTAGCAAAATAATATCTTCTCAATTATCGAATCGGAACCTGATACGATTCCTTCATAGTTCAATTTTCTCGTAAACGTGTTTTCAAACGGGAAGATTTCATTCCATATTTTCGATTTATCTTTACATCATGAATCACTGTTCTTCCTGTTTTTTTCTTCCCTCCCCCCTAATTACACCAAGTACGTCCTTTGAAATTTTTAAAAGCAGCTTTTACACGGCATTAAAATGTCGTTGTTTCTTGCGATCGGCAAAGATGAAACCTCCGGATTCAACGCGAAGATAAATCGAAGATAAAGATCTTCTCTCGCAACGTTATCTTGATCCTCGCGGACCCGTTTCAGGAACGCTACCGAAGTTCCAGTTTTACGCAAATTATCGTCTTCCTGCTCGATCTCTTCTTAATTTTATCGACAACACGGGATGCATATTTTACGGGTTTCTTAAAAGCTGTCGTTTACACGGTTATAACAGTTGTATCGTTGTAATCTTACCGCGATCCTTTACGATCCAATCTTTAGATTTAGTGCGACGATAACCATACCATCTTCTCGATAGTAATCCCGATCCACGTAAATCATTTTATATTCCCTTTCTCTTACAAACTATCATCATCTTCCAATTTCTTGTCAACTTTCCTCAACGTTATGTATCAATTAAATCCTCTAAGCTAAATATGTTTATTTGTTTATTATATAATATACAATAAGTATATCAGATTCTTAAAAATAATTCGAGTATCATTGCAAACAAAAAAAAAATATATTAACACCTCCTTCTAGTCATCCCTATCCAAGCTATATGTTCAATGTTACACATATTAATTCTGAAACCACGTTAAAAAGAGGACGAAACAAAGATATCGTGACATCGTTGCACGCGGATTATCCAAATTCGTATATTAATTCGTAACCAATGATCAATAAGAATATCGTGTGCAGGAAGAGCGATATTTTTTCCTCTACTTTCTCTTGATGAAAAAAAAAAAAAAAATACGAACAAGGTCCAATCCATCTCTTCGACGCATAAATATATATATATATTTAAAAAAAGGAAGGAATGCGCTTTCATTTAATTTTATTCGACATTCGCGGAGAGCCACAAAGAAATTCCATTCCGCTCGTCGAAAGGTCAAGATCGGGTTTATTTACTTGGAGCGGAGCACCAAGAGGGAGCAATTAATCGCGAACCTATCGCGATATCTCCCGGAAGGAGGGCCCGGCTGGAATTTCACGCGAATCGCGCTGCATCGAGTTATTAGTCATCGAGATCCTCGAGATTCTCGCGGAAGGAGAGTGTGTGTGCGTGAGAGAGAGAGAGAGAGAGAGAGAGAGAGAGAGAGAGAGAGAGAGAGAGAGAGAGAGAGAGAGAGAGAGAGGAGGGTCTTCGCCTCCCTCGTGCTGCACCAGCCTATTATTTCGACCTTCCCGCGCATTCCACGACGTGATTGCTACCTGCTTTTTGCTTCCTCTCCGCGAACGAAATCCTTGGAATCGTCCGTGGATGAAGTCATTTCGAAGGAAAAGAAACGATCGCGCTCATCACGGCAGCCTTCGCGGATTCATTTTCGCCAACTGTTCCTGGACAACCTTGTTTCTTTCTTTTTTTCGAGGGATCGCGATAAGCGATGAAAATTTCGAGGGCAATTATATATCCGTTCCGAGGTTGAACGAGTGGATGGATCTTGGGCCGATAATAATATATTTTTGTTTTTTCTTTCTTTGAAATAAACGTCCTTTTACAATTTTTCTCGTAGCGAGTAGAGATAATTGAAATTTTGTTGAAATTTAGTTTCAGAGAAAATTAGAAAGTTAGAAAATTAGAAGATAAAGATCGATATAGATAAAGATTTTTATGAATATCTTTGAAATTGGAATGAAATGGAGGATGCATCGTGAAAAATTTAGAACGCGATAATTAATAATAATGCTTTACGGTATGAGATCACAATCGATGTAACGATACTATCTTTTATTCTTTGAGGAAAAATTCGTATATTTTTCAACGTTGTCCATATCTTTGTCGTGAAAGGATTAAAATATGCGCCTCTCTTGCGCGTAAAAGCGTTTCTACAATTCCTCGCCGTTCACTCTAATATATTAACAGTTTCTTTTTATGGGTCGGATCGTGCAAGTTCGTCAGGGTACACGGCGATGGGCACGTTGGACACAGGGCAAGCTTGAAACGCGATACACGATTGCAATTTTACGTATGGCGAGGGAACAGGCCGACGAGTGTGCTTTATAAGGTGCTTGTTAAATTTTACAACCGGTCATTATGCCCTCGATACTTGAGTAAAACTTGAGGAAATAATAATAACGCGCGACCGTTTAACTGTACGATGTTCGTCTGTGATCCCGTGGTGCATCTCGAGGTTTCCCGATCTCACGCGAAAGATTTCCCCGTATTCCTTTCCCTTCGTGCAACTAATTTCATCCTTTCCACCTTCGTGTAATTATTTTTCACTTGAATCTATTCACTCAACGGTAATATACTTCCTCGAATTCCAAGATCGAAACACGGCATCGTGCATATACATATATGTGGATAACCTAACTTTGCTCGAAAAGAAAAAAACTCGAAATTATCGTTCTATATGGATACAACACGTAAAAATCCAGAAATAGAAATAAGATTATCCATTCAATTTCAAAAATTAGACATTAGTTCTTCTTTATTACGTCACATTCATCGTTGAAAGAAAAATTCGCGTGGAAAGTGTCGATTCGATAATATCTCGAAAAGCCCACTTTTTAAACGCTTTTGTTCGACTGAACACGATTTCTCGACTTGTATATATATGTATATATATACATCATCGAGAGAGAAAACGGTGCATGTTCGATCGACGATAAATGAGAATATATCCGTTTGTCACTTGCCTGTTCTCTTGTCTTCTCGGCGCACATAATAACGCGCATAATTCCGCCATAAATTATCGACCGGATATATTCTAATTCCGCTGCGTGGGTAAAACAGTTATTATTGCGGGTTCGCGGCTTGGTATTGTGAAGCTTGGTTCGCTCGCGATGCTGTTCGAGAGGATGGGTTGAAAACGTGTGTGATGCCGTATGGGACACGTTCGAGTCTGGAATAATTTATTACAGCTTTCTTAAAAAACGAAGCTGGGATTCCAGCTGGTGAAGCGTGCGTATAAACGAGGATTGATTGCATCCTCTTGGTACGTGCATTTGAGAGATTGTTTAAAACCGAGATACGATGATTACGGGGCCCGATCGGTCCTCCACGTGTGCGAAACGATTATTTAAATGTCACATTCACGTGCCAGTTGACTTTCGAGTCTACCGGTTTCGAATATCCGTTTGGACGATCCACTTCGTGTACTTATGATAACCGAGAGAGGTTATGATATGCTTTTGAACCGAACGAGAACGTAATATAGGTTAAATTGGTCGAACTCGATGAGTGGTATAAAAACAGAATGATTTTGTTGAATACTATTAAATGATGATACTGTATCTTCAATGTTTAATTTTTACGCATTCCTACTTTTCAAGTTATAAAGAAATTCTTCCTCTCTCCATGATATTCCGAATATCAAGTGCTCAATTTCGTACATAGAATAGAAAGTTGATTGATTGACGATGATTCAAGTTGAGTTTATAATTCAAGTTTATATCTATTGTTAATCTTCACTCCTTATATTCTAATTCTAACCATTTTCAACAAATACACGATGCACAATTATCAATTAATTCTCAAACTAGCTAACAAAAGTGTCGAATTGACACGTTACTTTATTTACACGTATAGATCCCATTCGATACACTCTATTTTCGTAATCGCTAGCCATATTATGTATCCCCGTTCTGTATCACGCTTAGCTTCCCATCCACCATCGATACCAGAGTACCTTCGCAACGTTCCTCGTATCTATCTCGAGGAGAAATAATCACCGTCCAGTGTGTGATTAATAACTCGACTAGTTCTTCGGCCGGTCGGCCATTTCCATCATTGTTTCGAGCTCCGGGTAACCATTTAATAGACGGGGAAGCCGCGTGGGCTTATCTGGATCGTGGCGTTCCATTGAGAGGCGAGCACAATGGCATTGAACGATCCTCGCGATCAATTAAATATCACCGGTATAAATATGAGTTAACGAAGGCCGGAGATCGGTCCTGGATCCGGATCGATAAATCGCGACGCGGTGTCGGTCCGCCTCAACGCCGAATTGATCACTTTCGTAACAGCGTTGTCTACATGGGGAGAACGTGTATAATTGGCCCTGATAAATTACATTTTGCTCGTTTTTATTACAACCGTCCTTTTCTTTTTATTTATTTATGATCTTTATTTAAACAGCGAGAACGTGGAGATGGAAAACGGGGTTTGCTTTGTTTCGCGTATGATGAAGTTTAAACATGTAAGATGTATCGATATTTGCGCTGATTCCATTAAGCTTGTTGTTCCATTAAGATGGTGTAATTGAAAATTTGGTATTGCGGTATTGTGTTATTTGAAGATCGTTTTAATGGGATTGTTAGAAATATTGGATCAGTGTTGTGTGTTAATGATAAATCAGTTTATTGTAGTGTATAACCAAAACGTCGAAATTGTTCTGTCATTGTCTACTCGAAGTTTAAAATTGGAAACGATTATATTTGTGACAGAAGTGTTACAAATCGTGTATCTCTAATATTTTTAATTCAATTTTCATTTTGTCAAAATTTACCGTTTACTCTCCTTATATAGCCAATAGCTTAGTTAATATCTCCGCACACTGCATCGTTAGAATATTCTTATCGAATAGCATAAAATTGTATACTACAAATCTAAATAACACTATCCTCCATTATTGCATCATTATCGATCGATGTGGTTTCTAGATATGGTCCTAGTGAAAATGATTGGTTTACAGTTTTCAATTACAAATAGTTATTGCTGATGGAAAATAATATTGTTTCTTGTTATAAATCGCTTTATAGGTTACCTGTAATAATTCTCGCGAGTGTGAAATTGTAAATGATTGGTGGTGTTACGTTGGGAACGTGGGTGAGGTTAAACAACGGGTTCGAGAATGATTGCACGAATGAGGTAAAAGTCGTTTTATTTCTTTCTCTTGATGGATGTGATATTACGTTTGTAATTGACTTGAATGCCTGGATATACGTACACTGTAGTAATCTTTGTCCAGTGTAAATGACACAAACAAATAGAGAAATTGATTAATTACATGGGATGAAGATAATTGGATGTTTGATCTTAATGTATTAAAGTTAATATACTTAATTGTTAGATATCAAAACTTTGCCAAACTCGTGTCACATTCATAAGATAATAATAATAATAGCATCATTTCTTTGGTTTGCAAAAAATTAATTTCTTATTTTTATGTTTCATGAATTCAATTGTATCAAATAAAAATAAATTCATATACAATAAGAAATTATAAAATCTATTTTTCAAGAGTTTCAAAGAATTTTTACATTTTCACATCTCATCCTAAAAAATATATTTCATCCTTGATACATATATTTATTAATTAAAAAAATTAAAATTATCACCTCAGTTCACAAAGTCTATAAGTCCGTGAAATTTAATTTTAAAAATTCAAATAACCATATTCGTTGTTTTCATAAAACCTAACTTCGTGAATTGCCTCAAGAATAATCGATCACAACATAATATCGTTTCTCCAGGTCTGGAAAATAAAAGAAAAAAAAAAAATGAAAAAAAAAAGAAAGAGGGTTAATATCACGGGTCGGTTATTCGATGATATTTTAATTCGAGGTTATTAGCGGTAATTTTATTTTACCATATAAAGTAGTGGGTTCCATTAGTACTGTAATTGTGGTCGGGGTCTCGTTACACAGACAACCAATTCACCGTGTCTTCTTCGTCCGGCCGCTTATGACATTCTTGTTACTCTTTTGACGAGGAAGAAGAAACGTGTTCTTCATCTCCCATCGGGACTCGAACGGTCCCCATTGGTGCCTTCTTGCGCTCTTGCCGCGCTTAAAATCCAGCTAACCTAGGTCCCCGTCAAGCGTGACGGGACTACGATGAATGGGACAAGGGTCTTCTTCCTCGTCGCCGATGAATGAGACAACAGTCGTACACTTTTCTGCCTCGACTTCTTGGGAACTGGTCGACGTTGATACTCGTTAAGCCCTATCATATATTACAGAGTGCTTGGAATCAGTCAGGAAACGTACAGTAACTCACGAAAGTATTAGAACACTATGTTACTGAGAAATTTGATTAACTCAAATAATGATTTTAATAATTTGTATATATAAAATATAATAGATTATTTGTGAAAATTTGAAATTCATTCTCAAATTTTTAGCATCTTTTTCTTTCATGTTTTGAATACAATTTTGCATATTTTTTAACCTAAAATTAAATTTTCTCGCATTATTATAAATTTATATTTAAATATATATAATATACTTATAATATACTTTATAAATTATAATTTAGTATTTAAGACTAATATACATGTTTTTATTGTGTTCTACTTACAAACTTGAGCTACTGGATACATTACTGATATCTATGATACAAGAGGTTTTGTTCTTGTTTCCTTGAATTTACGGTTCGGTGTCTAAATACAAAAGAAATAAAACTGGAAGATAGATAGCCATAATTATTGTCATATTTTAGCGGTAATGGAAATACGATGAAGTAATTAAGAAATGAATACGAATAATTACTCGAGATGTTGAAAATAAAGGTTTATGGATGTGGACATTGCGGTCGTAATGGTTCTGAGCTTGTACGAGTTATCATGATTCTCATTTTAATTTTGGTTATTTTATTTGATTTGATGAATTCATCATATCATCATTCCTGTTCAAAACGTTTTTTAATTCAGTTCATATCTTATTTCAATTCTATTTTAATATATTATTTCTGTTATATTTTGCTTCTATTCGATAATTCGAATGTTAGGTTAAGTAATGTACAAAACTTGATCCAACACTACATCCAACGACGAAATAAACTTGTTTTATCATGTATTCCAATTTTCTCTATATCCAAATTAAGAACCCGTCTATGTGAACTTTACAAAAAACAACCTGGATTGATCTGTTCTGTAATTCACTACAGATCGAAGATTCTCGAAAGTGTTCCATTCGTCGAAAGATCGAGGAATATACCGTCATTAGCCGTTAAAAACATCGGCGCCAAACACTCCTAATCTCGGTTACGTGACCGAACGAATGAATGAGCCTTCGTCCCGGTATTATACCTCTCGAGGGTACCACTTAGAAATACTGGAGAACGAGTATGCTATCAGTGTCCTGGTTCTTGCAAAAAAGCCAGGAATAACGCGGCTGGTTGGCGCTGCCGGTTCTTCCTTGCGATCAACAATGGCGGTCACGTGTGTCGCGGCGCTTCGTTTTGTGCGCATGTGCACTCTTTCTCTCCCTCTCTGTCTCTCTCTTTCTCTCTTTTCATCTTTGTGTCTCAACGTTTGTATGTATGCGTCTTGTGTGTGTGTCGCATAGTCGTGTCGTTGGTAGCCGACAAGATCCCATAGACGGTGCGACGGGGGTTGTAGGAAGGGGTTAGAGGCACGCATGAATGGAAGGTTCATTCATGTGGTCGGCTTTCCTCGTACACACGTCGCCGCCGACTGCCTCCACCTTCTACTTTTGTTTCTATCGTCGGGCATCGATGTTACGCGCGCGCGCGTTCCTCGTCGAAACAATACGCTCGTTTCAATCCCGTGTTGCATCAGTGTCCCTCTATCATTCACTTGAGATTTATATGCGCCATTGTTGACACGATGATTCGATCGTAGTCGAGATATCAATAGTACTAATTGTGAAATTAATCGATACGATATTTGATGTATTTTATAGTAATTTTGTATTAAATTTTGTATTATGTAAGGATTGGAGTCAAATATTCGATTAAATTTCAAATAAATTAGATCAATATGATTTTCATATTTTGAATAATTAATTCTTTTAGTTTTGTTGAGTTTCATAATTTGAATAAATTTCGATCATGGTTGAAATACTAATATGGAATCGATCTATATTTCGAAATCTCGATTTACATTTGCAACAAAAAAATATTTGTTTTCTAGGTAATCCACCAAGTAATTTGCATAGTCGTCAGAGAAGGTGAGAAAATCTCTCATGGTTAACTTCTATTCTTTTAAAATTTAAATTATCCACATACTTCAATCTATTTAAAGATCAGATAAAACTCGATAAAACTAGATAACAGACACAATGTACGATATTTCGTTAAAATATTTCGAAAATTTTTCATCTAAAATGCGAACAAACAAGATCAGATACTTTATTTCGCTTTCCCCTTACAACCTCGAAACGGTTTGAACCGGCGATCGTGTTTCACCAGATAAGCAAACGCAACTAATAACTTTCTTCCTCAAAGTCTAAACGGTCAATCACCATAAATTATCACTTTCTATTCGCGTGCAACGTCTAACTCTGGTGGTGAGCGCACTCGAGATCGCGACATATGCAAATTAAACGCTTCATTCTCGAAACGCAATTAAGCGTGAACTGAGGGCGTTACAAATGAAACGATCGCAGTGAGAAACCTATGCTATTCTTCGATATCGAGATCATGGACTTTCTAATCGTTCTAATTATCTTAAGAATTTTTTTATTTCGCAATCGAAGGAAAAATCTCTCGTTTCAACGACAATTATAAGCCTCTCTGTGTAATGTAAATGGCTGGAGAATCGATCACGGTATGTGTATGTGATCTCTGTTAGAGATCATCTTTAACAGTGACTTCCACGTTGAAATAGTCACGTGACAACCGAAGTTCCTCAATCCTCAGTGACAATCTAGAGACAGGAACTCGTGAATCAAGATCGTATCCAGCCAGATAATATCATTGTAACGATAAATAACTATATGGATATATACAGGATCGTTCTTGGATGGTGTTCAATTTTTCCCAATTTTAAACGAAGATTCGTTATAACAGAAATATCTATAAGTTATATTCCTGAAAAATTAAAAATTTTTGTAATAATAATATAGAATTTTAAGTTAAGTTTCAATTGAGCTATAAAATGAATTACATTAAATTCACTTACTTAAACGAGTTCACATAAATGGAATAAACGTTTCTTCCACGTATCCCATAAATTTCAAACCTAATCGTTCGAAGGAATACCTGGAATAAATAACTCTGTTACAACGCATAATCTCGAAGAAGCAATAAATATAGATTATTTGATTATTAAGAATGTATTTCGCAACATATAAAGAGTTGGATCATATTAATGAGCTATAGAGAATTATCGAATTTCTTCTTATGCAATATTCAATCATCGTCTGAAACACCCGGTTCATTCATCAAACATTTCTTCCACGTATTCCCTCGAACGATAATCCAATCCTTCCATTTCCTCAGAATCACCCTGTACAACACGCATACAAGAGCGAGGAGTGGGGATAAATAAATGGTGGGTCGGATCGTTTTATATCGAGCTGCTATCTCGACCTTTCTTTCTCGTCCATAAGGCTAGAAGGTTCGTCTTATATGGAATAAGGGCTGCACATGTACGTGTACGTATTCATATATTGTTTCCACGTCGAGGGATGCAAACGCGTCTATCTTTCCTTGGTTACGAGCGAAACTTAAGTACTCGCGCTGTTTGATGAATGGACCGCAGGACATGACGCAGCACGTGGGTGGAATTACAGACGATCCACGAGCCACGTTATTGGAAACACGGTAAACGATCTACGATCGTTTGAGAGATACGTTTCAACGATAAAGCTCGGATACGTCGTAAAATCTACGTGGAAAAGTTGAGAGACTCGTGACGTTTGATTCATTGGAAAAATGTTTAGAGAAAGTGTTCCTCTTGAACTTTGATATTCATATGATGTGTTGAATATTAATTTGTACAGGAAGAGAAGAGAATATACAGATTGTATATCCTTTTTTTTTTTTTGAAGATTGAGTTTCTATTTTATTAGTTTTTTCTAATTTATTTTTGTGCTTTTTTCAAACCCAAATACTTTATTCGTCGAATATTATACAGAAACCTAACCTAACCTAATACACGCAGGTAGGTTACGAAAAGAGATCCAAATTTTAATTATGTATAATATTTTAAACCAATGAATTCTTAGACTGGAAAATCGGTATATTTTAATATTTTCTATTGGTCAAAAAATAGAGAAAGTAAAAATTATAGAAAAAGCGATACCTTAAAATCAAGTTTACTTTTTCGCTGATCGGAACACTCAGGACGCAAAAGGAACAAGACGTATGCGCATGCGCAGTTGTATATTATCGAAATATAAACGAAGGAACGAACGGAATTGCTGGAATAGTATCACGTGGCATTAAGCAGTCGGGAAGATTTGCGATCGATGGCGCGTATTACTAGGTTCGATTTAAAAGAAGAGAAAGTCACTTATCGCGGGGATTAAACGGGGCAAATTGTTGCGAATCACCATTCCCTTTAACGATCCAATAAAATTCTACTCCCCACTGTACTCTTCATTATCCCGCTTCACCGATGAGATTATACCACCGATGCTCATGCGTATCTCTCCGAAGACATAAACCTCTATTTACGATTATAGTGGCAAGAAGCCGCGATATCTTGCGTATAAATTCCTTTGTTTTTGCGTTTCGGCATCCATCGTGTTCCGACTTCTCTTCTTATTTACGATTTTCACCAGGTTCTTACTGTTTTTACCCAACCCAATGTTATCCCAATGCAATTATATCAGGGTTTTTGGCAATTGCGCGCTTTCAGTTTTTTTTACTCAGGTGACGAGTATTAAATTCCGCCACTTTCGAATTAATATCGGATACGATTATTTTCACATTTCGCTTTTTCTAATTTTCGTTTATTCTTTTTAATCTTGCCATTTTATCCTATTTATCCTATTTTTATCTCTTTTATAAATATGAAATCAATTTTCTTATTTCCATCGTTTCCAAATGTCTCGAATAATGGTCCTTCGTTTCTGGGCGATATTTTTCCGCAACTTTTCAACGGCGAGACACCAATTTCCACAAACAGGCGCATAACAAACTTCTTTTCACGTGTTCGAGTGTTCGTGCAGAAGAAACGAGGAATGTTTACGAGATTCTCTCTTTTCTAGGAATGTACGAGGCAACCACCTCGCTTCTCCAAGTCGCCACGAGTTTTCTCGAGTTCCGACTCCGATCTTATTTGTAGAGGCAGCTATTATCTTCGAAAAACGCGGCTGAATAATGTCCGGGTTGGCGATGCGCCGGTGGAATACGATGTTTGATGAATGAAGGCGAAGAAGAAGAAGAAGCCGGTGGTGAACCAGACGGACAGGGTCTGGCTCGCTTCCTCTTGAATGGGGAAGAGCCGGAGGAGACGACGGCCGCCTTTTTAAAACTCTCGATCCCGCGTCGTTAGCCACCGATAATTCGTTCGCTCGTTTTCTCCGTATATGGCCGGCCAACGAATCGAGTTAACTCGTATTTATTCCCTGTTTCTTGCCTCCCTGTTGCTTTATGATGCCTATCCTCGTGTCGTGTAATTATTAATTCCCCGGGCAAAAAGAGATTTTGACTCGCTTCGTTTTCGGCCGAGGTGTCCGTGAAATTTGTATCCTCGTGTTCGTCGTGGAATAAAATTTAATAGGCTCTTGTACACTTGTACATATATATATATATATATATATATATATATATATATATCTCGAAGGAAAGAATCGTCGAATCTTAACAATGAACGTGAACCTCCTCCATTCTGGAAAGAGATGAGACTTGAGAGTAATTTTTCTAGATTGAATTTTCTGTGAATCGAATTTAAAAAAGCTTTTGAAAAAACTTGAAAATTTTTCGTATTATATGGATGGATCAGAATAGTATACATATTATTAAATGGAATATAATAGCAAAATTTATAGAATTATCCTTTTGCTTTTCAAAATCTAATATAATATAATAGCTAATATCCTTTTTTATTCCTAATGAAAGTATTTTTAGGATAAAATTTATAACATAAACTATGAGTTTCCTTTTTCGTCTTCCCCACCTAAAATGAAATAAAAGTACATATAGTAATCATATTAAAATAGACAAGATGTTGAAAGATGAAAAACGATCGAATTCAAAATATCAATGAACTATTAATTCAATTAAAAAAAAAAGAAAAAAAAATACAATTCTATAAAAAACCATTCTTATCTCTAATCATATCACTAATCCTGCGAAACAAGTAACGCGGTTCGTTGAAAATAGTAATCGTTCATTTCCGTTCCATTATCCGGTTAATTGTAGTACGTTAACCGACCGTTCTCTGAAATTTTACGATTTAACATCGAAACAACTGTAAAAGGATTATTCCGATTTGCACTCTAATTCCTCCATCCCCAAGGTCCGCTTCTCGTGCCCCATGATTCACGAGTGGCAATTATATTCGTTAATAACAGGTTACAACAATCGCTTCATGAATATTTCCTCGTTTTCTCGTCCATCAAGGATATATTCCTCGATCGGTGAGCAGAACCGGCAAGGCTTGTCCACCGCGTTTTTTCACCCACGATATAACGTTGTTACAGCATTTTTTCATATTTTCCTTTTTTTTTTTTTTCCTTCTCTTTCTTTCTCTTTCTCACAGCAAAGATCTCTCTCTCTCTCTCTCTCTCTCTCTCTCTCTCTCTCTCTTTGTATCCGCGTAGCGATTAATAATCATTTATTGACTCAGGAACTGTTCACTCCCACGCGTGACTTCCACGAAAGCACCGCGGTTTCAGATGACACCTGGTGATTTACAAACCGGCTGGGTTTATTTAATAACGCGAGAGGCTAGGGTATGAAAGGTACCCGGAAGATCGTTCGATGAAAGATATCGAGGGGTTCAACGGCACTTCGAATCGGTTGGTATTCTAGAGATAGGCATAGCGGCGAGCTGGCCTATCGTTGTTCAGCCAAAAACAGATATCTCTTAAGCTCGCGTTCTCACCGAGGCAACAATGAGAAAAATTGTTTTTTTTTTCTTTTTTTTTTTTTTTTCCTTTAAATTTAAGGTTTTCGTGGCGCTTCGTTGATTGATTCTAGAAACAATGTAAATGAGTTTTGATAAAAAAAAATAATAGCTTAAGAATTTCTTTTAATAGCTTACCTTCTTAATAGCTTAAGAAACTTTTATAAATTTCTTTAAAATTCGAGTCGCTTGTATTCTAGAGATAGCCAATATGGCGAACTATTAGTGTTCTGATAAAACTAGAAGTTTAAGCTGCGTTCTCATTGAAGCAGTAAAGAGAACTTTTTTTCTTTGAATTTAAGAAGCTTTCGTGGTTTTTTTTGAATCGTTTGATATTTCAGATATATTTCAGAAATAGACAAGCTACAGTATTGTTGTATTTTTTTTACCAAAAAGAGAAATTCTGATATTTCTATATTTTTTTATTTCCATTTCAGTCATTGCAGTTAGCATTATAACGTAAGAAAGTTTGATCAAATTTCGAATGATTTCATATTTTTGCATTTGTTGAAATCGGCCATTTTACATTCAGGAAAAAGTTAATATAATCTTATGAAATTTATGAAAAATTGACGAAAGTTATCTAATATAAACGAGATTTAAGGATCAATGAATCAGAGAAAGATCTTTACAAATGTTTCTTAATACAATGTCTAATATAACTTTGTAAAATTCAAAGTCTCTGATTATATTGCATTGCTTTGTAGGTCAGTGTTTGACAGTGAATTTATTGCTTCAATGAGGATGCAGCTTAACACCAATTGCGTGCATAGTCGAATTTCAGAGTGATATTTAGCCATCTTTTTTTAGATTTTTTTCGTTCGAAAAAATATGCATAAATATTGGATGCATAACAAACGTGTAAACTTTGGAATCTTATTTTCCATTATTGTTTTCTGAAACAGATAATGATGATGATAATATATACTTATGGAACATGTATATTAATGCATAATGATTTTTTTTGTTCGATTATAATTTCATAGTTAAAAATTATTATCACATTTAAGATTTATGCTAACGTCGTTAAAATTATTATGTAAACGACTAACTACATCTTTTTAAATTTATGCGATATAACTCAAATATTTATGTAATTCTTAGGTAAGAAAATACCAGTTTTAGATGAATAAGTTTAATGATAATTTATTTAATTGCGTTTTAAAATTAAAATTACGATATTTACAAAATAATTGCAG